TGCCATAGGTTTGCCACCACTGGCCTAAACCAATACATGAGTTTGGGCAATGTTAGCTTCTCTTACAAATAGATACCATAATGCCTAATATTGGAAAAACAATAGAAGCTTTTTCTTGCTAAAGTAGTCATTCAATGCAGAGGTTCATGGTTGTGGGTACCTCTTTTATGAAATGATTGTTTGGCCTAGCCTTCTTCCATCCTTTAGTTTTGTTAGTCCCTAGGGGTGACAGTGGAATGGAAAGAGCAAGTGAAGGCACAATAGTTACTCAAAAACCTTGATCTGGAAGTGGCACACATCACTTTTGGTCAAAATATATTGGTCGATGAGGGCAGACAGCAGGGTTTTTACCCAGTGAAAGGGCTCTGAGTAGTCCTTAGTTAACAGCTACTTTCCAGGAAAATTTGCAACTCTGTACCATAAAAGGGGATTCTGAACTTGGGGTATAGTTCGCCACTAGATTTGCTTTGTTGCTTTTCTTGGGTGATACAATTTGTCATCCAACAGTCCAGGTGCCCATCTTGCATCAGATTGTTGTCTGTTGCTCCCTGCATCACTCGTTTCATTACTGTTGAACCACTGAAGCAACTCCTACTTCCCATCAGACAATTGGTAGGCATCCAAAATGTGCTCCCTGCTCTGTCTCTACCTGTCCCTGGCAGGCAAGGGAGGGAGCTGGTCTCCCTTATAGGTACGTAACAGCAGGGTCTGGGAAGGCCTGGTTGTGGACATGGTGGTGGTGATTCACCCTTACATCATGAACCTCTCAAGCTGCCCCTGCCAAAAGAGGCACAGTGCAGACCGTCTTTAGTTTTCTTGTGTCATGTGTAGGAGTGGGATACTTTCTGATGAATTCCATGGAAACTCATGGTGCCTTGGCAGAAGGCTTCCACTTGTCTCCCCCAATTAAAGCTCTCGCTTGGACCTTTTAGTCCTAGAGCTTTCTTAAGCAGATTTCTTTAGCCCTGGGCATATGTAAAAATGGGCCTGAGGTCTCTGGTCCTGATTTCTCTATCCTTGTTCTCAATCATCTTTTTTATTTTTTAATTTAATTAATTTATTTTTTTTTGGTACCTGGGATCGAACTCGGGACCTTGTGCTTTAGAGGCAGGTGGCGAACGACTGAGCTAAATCCCCTGCCCCAAGCATCTCTTTAAACACTCATTTAACCATACTGCTTATGACCTCCTTGGTCATATTTCATTAGATTAAATTCTAGTGTTTTCTTGAAAAAGGGAAAGTACTATATGTTACCAAAAAGAAAATATTTTGTAAAAGTTTTTCTGACAATTACTATATATTATGTACCATGAAAGGAGCTTTGAGCAATATGAAGGAACATAAATTATGATTTCTGCTTATGAGGATCTTATGAGCCAGCCAGAACAAAATAATAATATGGTGACTACTGTGATTTGGATATGGCTTAACTGTGTCTCTGAAAATTTCATGTGCTAGTGAGGGTCCTTGCTTCAGTGACACTGGAAATTAAAACTGAGGCTGTCACCATGGAATTCCAGGAAAAACTTTAATTGAAAAGTTAGAGAAAATAAGGGGGAACATGGCTCTGACAAAGATCAAGCCAGTTTCCTATTAAAGGAAAGTAAGAAAAGACAAAAAGGGACCTTGGTTTGAGAAACTGAAGGGGGCACCAGTCTGAAGAGGTGGATCAAACGAGCCCATTCATAAAAGCGCAGTTTTGTGAGTTACCATGATGGGATGGAGTTGGGCTGATCATTATAGCAATCTTGGTTTCATAGCTCCAGAGGAACCCTTATGACTTGAGGGGTAGGTCTGTTGCCATGAGATGACTGGTCTGCTTGAGGCAGTTTCAGTCTTGTGAGGCTCTGCTGGAATCTAACGTGACTCTAGGTTTAGGGCAATTAAGACTCTGGGCATAACTGGATGCCCCTGCAAACCTCTTATATCTTGGTGCCCTTGGCCTTGGGGGAGGGGGCAGGTGAATTGGGACTAATAAACCTTGTTTTACCAACTTTTAGACAGATATTCCCTAAATGACTAATGCGCCTATATGTAGAATTGAGAAAAAATTTGACCTAGAGTTTTACAAAATGAAGGTTAAATTTCATTCTACTTTTAATTACCTATTGAGCATCTGTAGGCTCAATGAAGAGTATTTTTTTTAAGAAAAGAAAAAATGCTTTTAAGTTTCTGAATGCCTTAAATTATGATTTTAATGAGTAATAGGTTAAAGGCCCAGGAGTTTGTCCTCTGTCCCTATGGTGTCTATTTTACTTTTTTTTCTTTTGCCTTTTAGGATTAGAAATACTTATATAATTCCTGCTCAGTATTAAAAAATGCAGATAGTGTTAAGGAGTTTATAGTGAATAGTAAGCTTCTCTTCTATTCTAAACCTTAAACTTCCTTGGAGACAACCGCTGATACCAGTTACCCTTCTCTGTACAAAGGTATTTTGTGAGTATGCTGAGCATTTCATTCTTCATTTTCTTCTCAACTTTTTTCTCTCCCTTTGTAGATCAGTAGTGTTCAAGTTTTCTTATGCAAAAGAAACACTAGCAGTACCTCTTAGAAATACAGATTGCTTAGTCCTTTCCCCAGAGATCTGATTCTGTGGATCTCGTCAAGTTCAAGGAATCTGTTCAAGAAATCTAGGTAAGTTCAAAACTCAGTTGATTCTAAAGCATGTGGAGCACAACCTCTACTTTGAGGCATTGTTTTAGAAAATAAATAAGGTCTGCCTATCTTGGGAACTGATCTGGTGGAGTTATAGAAATCTATCACAGTGTGCTATCTACTCCTCCAGTCTTGGATCTTTCCTAGGGCCACCTTTCCTTTGGTCTCCATTGCGATGCACAGAGGTCCTTCAAATTCAGTTGGTCTGAGGATCTGGATTTGTTCCCTGGCTTCTCACTGACTGCCCTACTGCTGAGCTGCAGAGTGTCATTACCCAAACTGAGAAAATCCAATTTGTTTTCTTTCTCTACTTCTGTGACTACATTTAACATCCACTTTCTTTTACCTGTAAGGAATAAGTAACAGTCACACAACCATAGGGTTTTGACAGATGACAGTAACTTAGACATTATTTCAGCCAATCTGTAGATAGGGAAACTGAGGCCCAGAAAGATTAAGAAACTTGTCCCAGGTCACAAAATAAATTATTGGCACAGCAGATTAGAAATCCATTTTACTAATTCTATGTTGGGTGTTCTTTACTCATTTCAGTGGCAGCTAAAATCTCAGAGTCCTTGAAAATTATTCAAACAATTCCTGTTCCCTAGTCCATTTTTCACTTTGAAATATGTCCTTCTGGGCCTGCCTACCTCCATCTCTCATGGGCCACACTTGCCTTAGTTGTTTGTCTTTCTCATATAGTATTAGTGTGAATTATTTCTGAATTCTCAAACATGGCAATATCTTATCTATTTGAACTTCAGGCCACCAAATATAAAGCAATTTTGAACTGAAAGGGTGGTGGTTACTTTAAATCTCTGTGAGAACACAGGAGCTCACAATTCTTATTCTCAGCTTCCTCAAACAAAGACCTGAGGTACAGTCTGATCCTTATTATTTTCTAGGGTTGGGGGAGGGTTGAGGTCATACAAAGGTTGCTTGGTTTGCAATCTCATCCTGTCTCTCTCCTCCTATTGACAAGTCATCAGGATGGTTTATAGATTGCCACATCACTTTAAAGACTATTTGCTGAGGTTTTGAGACATTTATCCAATCTCAAGAAACTCAAGGGACCTGATTTCAACTTTGAATTATATATTATCCATGTTTGAGATGAAATGAACAATTTTAATGGGGAAACCCTACTAATCAGGCCAGAGAATAGCAATTGGTTTAATTTAAAAATGTTTACAGTTTTGTAAGTTTGATATTTTAACCTGAATATAATTCTTAATAACCCCTATCCCCAAACTTATATTCTTCTATTTTTCAATGTCCCAAGAGTCTAGCCAGGAAAAATATCAGCATGTCTTTGGAGAGCTTATTTGTCCTGATGAAAAGAAGGATTCCAGGAAAAAAGGATCGGTTCTTTAAATAATTGCAGCAACTTCAGAATGGAAATTGAGTAGCTACAGAAAGATGCATTCACTAGAGTAGGATTTTTCCCACACTTTTAGCATTCAGAAGCTATATTCAGGAAAAAGACATTTACTAGGGTTTTGAATCCAAATTATGAGAAAATAGTATTTGCAAGCCTTTACACATATATAATTTTGTGATTAGGACTGTTGGTGAACCACTCTAATATCATAACAGATTTAGCTGCAGTCTTTCAAGCAGGTATTTATATTAAGTCTAGGTAGAGGCTGGAACACAATGTAATTCTTTTTATCTATTTTAATGTGTACAGTAGCTGGTAAATCAGCTTCCCTTGACCTGTAAGATATAAAAATGATGCTATTTTGTTTATATGCATTATTGTTGGAACTCTGCATTCCTGGGAAAAGTGATCAAAGATTGCATTAGCTGTGTTGTAAGGCAGGGATGGATTATCCAGCCACATATGCAAGATGAAATCCCTGCTGTACATGTCTGCTCTCATTACCTTATGCATCAGCGCTTGTAATTTCCAAGGATCAAAACTATGCCTTGCTATTTTTAGTTCATTTACTTTCTTTGAGGATGATGGTCATTATTCTGACACTTTGTTTCATATATACACTCTTCTTCCACCCTAGTCAAAATAGATGTTAGTTTTCCATCTATATGCTTTTATACTTACCACACACTCTAGCTGGGCTTCTTTGGATTTAGTTGGCTTGGGAAACTTAATGATTTTATTTTCTAGAGGTCAATTGCTGATATACAACCAATAATAGATAGTTAGCTGCCCAGGATTCTTTGCATTCATTCCTTAAAAACTCAGTTTAGTTTAGGTCTTTTTAATTCACTACTGAAAATCAGGTGCCTCTAGGAATTTCAATGTTGTATTACAGTATAACAAACTACCCAATATCAGTAATGGCCTATTTAGGAATGAAATGCTTTATTTTTTCTGGTTTTAGGCGATTTCTAATTTCGATGGGGACCAGGCATCATGTACAAGAAGGCAATTAATAGCTCCCTGAAGGGACAATTCACTAGCCAGGTCGTAAAAATCATCCATTGTTTGATCTTTTGGCCATAAGGTAAGAGGGAAACAAACACATCTATTTTCTCTCAGCACTACATCTGAAGATACTTGCAAAATTATAACCAGTATTATTATTGCTCTTTTTGTTATAATTTCGATAATATTTCTGCAATCTGGATATTTATTTGTTCATATTTATTTATTTATTTATTTATATCCTACTCATAACCTTCCCCACAGAATTTATTCTTTAAGAAGGCTTTTTTCAAAATTATGCTGGGATGAATACAATATTTCACTTGAAAATTCCCCCTTGTAATCCTATTCTCTGGAAAATTAATTCAGGCAAAAGAAGTAGTGAGGGAAGGAATTACTTAGCGTATTTGTTTTGGTTGCTCATATTAATCAGATTTTTTTGGATAATAGTTTTAATTCCTTGTGGTAAAACATACCAACCTTTCCCTGGGTTTGTACTGTAAATATACCCAGTTTAACTAAGACAAAATTGATCTAAATGCAAATGGATTTGTTTTGTTGTTATAAATCTCAAACACCTTGGGAATGGATGGGAGAATGCAGTAGTGGAGGAGAGAAGAGGAGTGGGTGGTGTAAGGACAGGGTCTGTGATCCAACCTAGAAAGCAGATAAGAAGAAACTGAACAAACAAGTCAGCATTAGGAGAAAAGGAGGCCACAGCGAGTCACAGCAGATTTGACAGAAATGGACTAAGTGTGTGTGTGTGTGTGTGTGTGTGTGTGTGTGTCTTTGTAAGGTGTTCCAGGAGCTCTCTTAGGGTTGCTGTGGGAAGACAGGGTGCGTATAATCAGGTAGTTATAGGAAGTATCTTGGGTTCGTGTCCAAAGTCTCTACCTGAAATCTAAGCAGATTCAGAAAGGCCCTAATTTTTCCCAAGAGCTCTCTAGAAGTTCTTATTTACTTCTGCACAGCATCCCTATGGAGAAAAAGACAATAATAATAGCTGACATCTTTCACAGCATGGTGGTGTGTGCTTGGCACAGTACTAAGTGTCCCATTTGCACTGCCTTTTTAGAACATTGTCTCCTTTAGAATTGAGAAGGCAGACTCTAAGATGGGAGTAACTAACTTAAGGAGCTCAAATCCAAATGCTTTGATCCAGTTGCTGAAACTGTAATCCAAATATTTTTGATCCAAAGTGCAGACTTTCTTGTACTATGATACTTTCTTAATGAATGAAAAAAACCAGGGTAGATGGATGGAGAGCCATGTATAAGTGTTAATTTGGGATGAGTTGTATCTGGTGGGCAAACTGAATACCTGCCATTTACTCAGATAAGCCAAGTCTTTCCTTAAACCCCTCACAATGAAATTAAGATAATAGGCAAAGAAGTTCTTAGAATGAGGATTTCCATGACATATAGTGAAGCATAGGAAAGAAATGGGAAAATTTGGCCAGGGCCCATCCCTAGATTACAACAATAATAAAAAATCAAACATGCAAAAACAAAAGACTCCAAACCTTTAACTCTTTGAGTTGTGGAAATAAAAGGAATCTCAGGAGGATATGGGAAACCTTGGTTAGATGAGACTTTGGAAACTGTTGTTCCATTCAGCATACCACTTGTTCTCTGGGCTTTAAACCAAACATGTAACCATGAATCAGTCTACTTCTGCTTCCTAACTGTCTACAAATGTGAAAAGGGCACTGGACCTCTGGAGAGGAGGTGTTTCTGGTAGTCTTTTTATTGAGCCCACAGGTGGACTGCCTCCCCACATGGTTTGTGTTGGCTACTGAAGCTGTATTTGGGGCTCTGGTCTGAGGGGAGGAAAGGTCAAAGAGATAAAAAATATGGGATCAGTTGCTATAGCAATTTAGTCTTCTTCCCTCCACTATAGATTCCCATGGGATTAAGAAAAATTTTCATTGCTTGCTTTTCTTGACTCCTAAAGATGTGGTCGTGGTGTACCCCAGTGTGACTATTTCAAAATCTGAGGTTAAACCCAACTACCATTAAAAATTCTCAGTGGCTGGCATTACTCGGGCTCTTTCAGACTTAAATGGTCTTAAGAAGAAACTACTGTTTCAATATTTTTGCAATTAAGTTGTAATTTGTATAAATGGCCCATTGGTAGTATCATTAAATTACGTTGTCTAAGGGTTTTCAGCTTGCAGAATATGCTTAAAAAATATTAGGCCTATAAAATAAATTTGGCAAATTCTAAGCCCCACACAACTTTTTTCCCTTCATAAAGCCCCAAATTTCATGTTATACTTTTAATTTATGATAAAGACTTTATTATCTGATATGATGGAAAGATGGGAGTGACATATGAGTTAAGACTGCCACTTATCTGAGCTTTAATTCCAGTTAATTTCCTAAACTTCATGCTGTACCTAATGTCCTGTCTGCCACATGAAGCAGAAAATTACAGATGTTCTCTGAATACTTATTTAAATGTAAGGACTTTAAACAACTCCCTCAGAGAGATCATGAAACTAGCACATAAAAACCATCTCCCATTTCAAAGTGGATTTTGAAAACCCCAAATACCCTACAACATATCCTGATATCAGGCAAAAAAAATAAAGCTTCACTTCAGAAATAATTAGGGTTGAAAGTGACATGTCTTGGTTGGCGGAGGATAGTAAACTGCTGTCTGGCTCAGGGAGATGAATATGAAGATGAGACAGAATGAGTCAAGGGCGGCAAAAGAGGGTCACACTCTAGGTTCATCACTAGAGACCATCTGTTGTGACACAATTTTTTGACTGGTGTTCAAATGTGGAGCAAAATTTATTTTGGAGGACAAAAGAAAAGTCGGTCTCTAGAATGATCTATGTGGTAAAATGCCAGATACTGTGGCTTTGACAAGAACAGGAATTTTCTGTTCTGTCACTTTCAGAGTTGTCTTCTTAATTTCCAATCAGGAAGAATTACAAAAACCTTCTCTATCAGATTTACAAATACCAATAAGTTACCCACTCCCTTTTTTTTTCTTTATCACCTTGCCCTTTTGATAGGCAGCACACAGTAAAATGAATAAATTCAGCATATTTTCCTGTTCACCAAGCATAAATTATTACTAACTGTGGTGAAAGGCTATTTGAAAAGCTGTTTTCTTTTATGGAGGAGCCTTCTTTTATCTATAAATGATTCTGTTTGAAATCAAAGTCGATATTGTCTTATCTCTGTGACCTCCAGAAACTGAACTGTGATGACATATTTCCATTCTACAGAAGGCAATAAGAGGATTCAGGCATAAGCTGAATAAACTACTAATCTATTCCTGTTCTTGGCTCAGATTCCCAGTCTTTGAAATGTAAGGAGAATTACCATAGCATTAGTATGTGATGTGATACCACTGTGAATTATCTGAAGAGTGTGTTGTAACTGGCTCCAGCTTTGGGTGGGGGAGTAGACTGTGAGATGATTTCTAAGATCCCTTCCAACTGAAGTTCATCACAGGTCTTCATACCAATGCCCTTTGGTAATTAATGGGGGCTATATTGCCTTGTAATTTTTGCTGCTGTTTCAGCCCTCATATATTAAGTCATGACTTCTCTCAAAGAAGCTCTGTGCTTCTCACACCTGAAAGAGTTGTAGCAATTTGATGAAGTATCAATTTGAAGTAGCACTAATAAAATGTATCTATCAAAAGAGCATAGCTTTTATTCAGTGACAAATGTCATGGAGATTCATAGAGATTTTACACAGAAGCACATTTATTCAGTCCTCATTTCATCTGATGCCTGTCTTCTACATAGTGTTTTCATCATAATAAAGTGGGCATTGAACCACCAAGTTGGCATTTAACATTAACATACTATGTTGTACCATTTACCATTTTGGTATTTTCTTGATGGATTTCTTTCTTTCTTTTTTTAATTTTGAAGAGTGCAATGATTTCTGAAAATGAATGTTTTAAATAAGGTAGCACTGGACTGTGACTTCTAACAACTCAGGCACTGGCACTGAAGAAAAGAGACTGGATATTTGAACCCTATGTTATAAGGCAGAAAGTGATACGGAATCAAGCCTCTTGGCTCTGAGCAGAGCTGACTCATAACCTTGGCTCTCTAATTCAGATGGAAGCAGTAAGTACTTAGAGGAGACTGAATCACTTGCCCAGGCAGCACGTGCATCAGGTTGAGCAGTGAGACCAACTGGTTGACAAGCCGTGGTGGTTGTTCTCTCAGTGAAGTGAAAAGCATGTGAAAATTATTCATCCTCATAATGTTAGGTCTTAAAATAGTCTTAACTGCTGATGCATTTATAAGAAACGTGCAATCAGTTTTCTTTGTCCACCTGGGTGAAAGTTCAAATAACCAAAAACCCTTGGTGGTAGATGCACATAGGTAGTCTAAAACTTTGGGATTGACTTTGACTACATTCCCTTTTTTGTCAGAAATAATGTCCTTAGTCACATCATTTTTGTCCAGGAAATGCCTTCTGTGGCAGTCACCCCAAGACCCTTGTAACCTTTCACCCATTTTGTTGTCACGGGCTTTAAAGGGCACAAAGGGGTTAGGGTTACTCAGGTGAAAGTAACAGAAAACAATTCTGAATATTAAAGTGGAATAACCAGAGGGACACAGAATCAGTAAGATGTTGGATAACTTGGCTTTTGGAAGAATAGGATACAGGAAGCATAGCAGTTGCTTTACAGCAGATTGATTCTGGCTAGGTTGGGACAACTGTGACATGGATGATATCTCATCAGTTTTTCTGACCTAGCATCATTGGTTTAAAGAGTGTCCAAATCACACTCTTTGTCCATTAATTTGTTCAGGCAGGAAGAAGGAAAATCTGATCCCTTGGCTTCCTGGACTGCTGGGAATCACCATCCTTTTAAGAACACACATGCTGGGCCAGAATAATTACTGTACTTCTAGGAAACTAGAAGGCCATTAGGAAGGGGAAAGGATACTGGATGACAAATGTCCATGGTGAGGCATTTTCCCACCTCTAATATCTCATCTCTCCAACCCAGCTCAATTTAGTTCCACAATTTTTAAATAAAAGATCAACTCTGTACAAAACACTGTGTTAGGTATGGGGCATTCTGGGGAAAAGGTGTTTCTACACTTTGCTACTAGTCATGTTGCAATTACTGGGGCCATGCAATCTCCTGGCTTTTCATTGAGGGGTGGAGGTGAAGTACTGCCACCTCCAGAATGCATTCTGGCATTGCCTTTAGATTATCTGATGCTTTCAGGAAAGCTGTGAACCATGCACGGCTTTGGGCTTTGACTTCTATATCTCCCATATTTATCTCTCTCTGGTATTCTTTCACTCTCTAAGGTTCACTACTCTTCCTGCCTTCTGCTGTGTTCTTCCAAGCATGTAGAAATAATGGTATCACAAGAATATTATTCAAATGATATCATTAAGATGTTAGGTGAAAACAGGCATGAAGGATCTTATTGGGGTGCTGGATAGGTTTTAGATCTGGATTATGGCGATGGTTGAACAACTGTGTGAATTTATTTTAAAAAGTTCATTTTATATCAAAAGCAGGTGAATTTTATGGCATGAAAATTATACTGCAATTAAATTGTTATTTTAAAAAGAGTTGTTAGGTGATACTTAAAGTGCCACTCATCTGGTTGGGAAAACCTTTCAGAAGTGAAGGAATAAACTGAAAGCAGAAGGATGGTGAAAGGAATTTTTGACCACCAAGCCTAAGGCACTAATGGTGCTGGGGATGAAGTAAAGCTCACGTGTGCCTAGGAAGCTGCCCATCTAGTGACTGCCTGATTGTCTGTCATCACTCTGCTTCAGCAAACTTGGGGCTTAGTGAGTATTGCTATGAGGTGCCCAGAAGCTGGTCCATGAGTGACTCCAGGGACCTCACAGTATAGTGCCTTCCCTAAGGAGGGGTAAAGAACAAGAGGTATAGGCTATTTCCAGTGAGGAAAGACTACTATTTTGTGTCTTCTCCATTCTTGCAATCTTTCCCCTTTCATCCCTGGAAGTTCTCTTGAAGAGAAGAGGATAGACGGAAATATGGAGTGCTTCTCATTCCTGCCCAAAGGTTGCCAGTCCCCGAAGGATACCATAAGAGAAAGAACAATAAACTCTAAATCCCAGAGACTATGACCCATCCTAACGTAGAATCTCCCCTTCCGCAAATTTTTCACCATTTGGTTGGTAGGCCGATTTGTTTTGGCAGGTATCTTTGTAGAACATCCTCAGTAATCTTCAGGATTATCACATCGAGTGTTTTTGATTCCTTCTGGATTTTGGGATTCCTCAAGAACTGTCTCCATCTTACCTCTGTATTGTCTCTCAGTACCCTTAACATTGGCTTCCTCCACCCATATTGAATTTTCTTTCTTTTTGTTACTGGGGATCAAATGCAGGATCTTGCACTTTTGTGGTACCATTGAGCTAAATCCCAAGCCCAATATTGAATTTTTTTCCCTTCCTCTTCTACAGTATAATAACCCACCGTCACATTGTCATACGGTTCCTTGTTTGTATGATTTCCCTTTTCTTCTTACTCATGCTGGCCCAAGTGCCACTTCTTCTAAAGAGCTTTCCTTCTTGACTATTTCTACCCCATAACATTCTTTCATTTCCCTGAACCTAACAACAGTTACAATCTTCATTATACAATTTGAATTTGATAATTCTGCTATCCTGTATTAAAATGGTTTTTTTCTTGTTAGATCTTATGCTAGATTTTTGTCCTGCTCTATAAAAGTAGAAACTTCTTCTTCTTTTTTTTTTTTTTTTTTTTGCTTAAATTCTTTTATTGGTACATTTTAGGTATACAACACATTTATATTTATCATTGGGCGCTTGTACCTGTATGTGATGTATCTTCATTCTTATTTTTTCCCCATTACCTGTGAGGCCTTCACCTCCTCCATCTTTCCCTATTTACATAGACTTTGTTTCCATGAAACTCCTTCATTTTTGTGGCATCTCTTATACCATCTACACTGGTATTGGAACATTAAAAAAATTCCTACTATTCTCTGCTGGTCTCCATCACTGAGCTGAAATTTGTGGGTGGGGGATATTTATTGACCCACCTTTTTTTTCGGTACCAGGGATCAAACTTAGGACCTTGTGCTCGCAAGGCAGGTGGCAGCACCACTGAGCTAAATCCCCAGCTCCGACCCCTCTTGTTAATGCAGAGTGGAATTTCATTTCTGTTCCCAAATAAGTGTATATTGGAGTCAAATCTTTCTGACACTTTTCCCACTCTCCCAAACATTTTTGCCCCTGGGTAAATGAATGACTAATGCAAATAGTAGGCTCAGTAATTCTTTTGGGAAATTATAAAAGAATGGGTGTATGTTCCTCAAAAGATAATTAATATGTTTCTCTCACCAACAAAACAAACAATTGAAATGGTTCATGGCTCAAAACAAACAAGTGGAATGTCCCATGGCTCAGTGAGAAGTCTACCTCCTTTTTGCTTTTTTTTTTTTAATATGAGAAGGAACTTCCTATATTAATGATAATGATGAAGAGAAACAGTCATTTTTGCTTTCTGTTCTAGTTTTTTTTTTAAACCTATCATTGGGGTCTAATAATATCTCCCCTATTGCATCAACTTCTCTGTCCTTAATCTAGATGATGAGAAATGAAGTCAAACCACATTCTTCAATCCAGCTGTTCCCAGGAAGTCTAAACCTTGGGCAGGGAGCAATTTAGGTTTTTTTGTGGTCTATTAGTAAGACCAATATTTGGATTCTTGTTCAGCTGTCTGTTCTTGCAGGTCCATTCTGCTGTCCATTACAATGAGGAGGAGGACCAATGAGTGTTTTGGCCCAATCACTACCTTAAACCATTAAAATGAGGTAAGTCCAAAATATCTGGTTAACCAGATGGTTGTGTAATTTTAGCTAAAATTGTCCTGCAGTCTTAAGTAGGAATGTGAGCATCAGTGTCTGTGTATACATGTGGGTCTATGGTATAGGTTCTCTTCCTCATGGATATACAAAGCAGCAGTGGGGTGAGATGCTGAACTGGACCATCAAAACTGCCAGACCCTGATGCCTATAATGACTTTGGGGGACTCTGTCAATTTGTGCAAGATCTGGTAAATATTTCTGAGTTGTGGCCGTTTATATCATTTAGATCCTTCCAAACCTTCTTGGCTAGCCTCAAGCATTATTGTATTCCTGTCTATCATGTGGCAAAGCCTATAGGTGAAACATTTTCCAAATTCCAACTTCCCCCCAAAACAGCTGATGTGACATGTTAGCAGCATATTAGAAGGAAGTGCTATAGACCCAAAGTTAGTTACTATCATTTTCAGACATGAAGGATATATTTCAGGACATACTCAAGTATGTATATATGTTCCCAAAGGTCACCCCAACCCCTCACATTTAATCATTCAAAATAGGGCCAGTATCTCTCTAGCTTAGAAATTTTTTTTTGTCTCTTGATAATTATTTCCTATATTGGAAGCACTTTCACCCTTTTTCCTTTTAGTGGCAAGCCCACTAATAATGAGATTGTTCTGGGTTCCTGTGAGGCCCCCCTGAACTATGTGCTTACTCCCCAGCCCAGATGGTTCTACAGATAAAAGAAATAGAAGCTATGGAAAAAAGAGCAGAACCCAATGTGCCTCTAAGGCAGGAAACATTACTGGGCTTTGCTAGCCTTGAGGATGAGAGACCTGTTTATTTTTTAAATAAAACTCCACATTCATAAGCAAAAGTATAAAAATACAGCAGTAAGAATAGTGCTGTGTATGACCTCATTATCTTACCAATACTAAGCTCAGCTATCTTCTGTTTTCATGATATCAAATAGCAAAATGCACCCTCACCTCTTTGCCTCCATCTCCCAAGGTGGTAAATGAGCTCTGAAATTTCTTTGATTCTGAATGAGCAGAAGAAAGGGCCTTCATGCGAAATGGGAGGGCTGAGCCAGCCTGGTTTCTCTCCAGTTCCCTCAGCGAGCTCAGTGATGACCTTTTGGCTCAGCAACTGGCCTGCTAGTTAAATACAACCACTGAACAATCACTTTACAGGATTTTCTACTTATTAAAAATGGAGTGTGGCCACCAGGGACTGGAACCTAAAGGTAATAAAAGAACACCTAATAAAAACTTTAAAATGTGTGCACACACATCCCAAGACTGGTAGGTAGAGTGATCTTTAACCTCCGCTAATCCCTTAAGAGTAGGATTTGAGGAAATGAAACTAGAACTATAAAATTGGAATCAGAGGACACTTTCAAACCCCGAGGTTCCCTCCCAGCCCCAATTTTTTTCCAAATGATGAAACAGTGATGCTGATTACACCAAATTAATAGTTTCTATATTTCAAGATTTGGGTACTAGTTTTATAAATCAGAAGAAAAACAAACATTTGCATATTTATTTACAGAAATATGTTTTAAAATTTAATTTAAATTAATGTATTAAAATTATATCAGAGTGTCAGCATCTATAACCTTGGATAACACATATCTTATGGCATGACACGATTTGTTACTATGCTCATGTATGAATGAAAAAAATATAAAAATATATTTTCTGAAAACCTTCTGACATCGTCTTCTTATATTTCCCTGTAGTTTCTTCTTAGGTAACTTCAAAAGAGATCTTGTTTTCAGCAGAATGATCAGAATGCGTATATGATTCCCAAGTTTTATTATACAAATGACTGTTTTTTGTTATGTAAGTATTTTCTTTTATTTTTTTTTTTTGGTACCAGTGATTGAACTCAGGTCCTTGCGCTTTCAAGGCAAGTGCCGGAACCACTGAGCTAAATCCCCAGCCCAATATAAGTATTTTCTTGTTGCCTATCATTAAGCCATCTTTCTATTTATTTATTTTTTAATTGGTACGTTTGTTGTACATAATGACTACATGCGTTGTAGGGAGTTGGTACATGTACATGACATTTCTTAATCCTTTTTTTTAATCTCCCTAGGCAATCTTTTATACATTTTCAAGTTTTCCTCCAAAGGAGGAATGCTGGTTCTTCTCATGTGGAGCACAGTGAGGCTGTTGGTTCTGTGTTTATTAGATTCTGTTCCTGAGTGTGAGCAGTTTAGAAAGAAGTCAACACAGAGGACACAAATCACTCCTACATTGCCCTAGGTGACTGGGCTCTGCAGCAGAACAGTGAGGAGTTAGACTCCAGAAGCCTGGTTTTCTTTGTGCAAGGTGGCAGGATGTGATGGAGAGAGCCTAGGACCAGCAAGCAGTAGACCCAGCTTGCTCTTCCTCCTCTACTTACTGTTTCACTTTACACACATCAAATCTTTGTCCTTCAGTATCATCATCTGTGAAATGGCTGTGTCTGTGTATGTATGTTAAGGGGAGGAGAAGCCAGATAATCTCTAAGCCCTGAGCTTTCACACTGATTATTTGATTATGAGTTCAGAACAATTTGAAAGGCTCTCCTGGGGTCAGCTGTTTCATTGCCTTGTGTTACAGGAATTTTGTATCAAAAGCGCTTGGAATAAAATGTAACCTGGTCTGAGTCACTGACAGAATGATAACTCATTTGGTAGTGTTTCCTATGTGGGCTTTTAACCAGTGTTACTGGAAGAAAGATCTCTACCCTTTTCTGCTCAGAGGATTGAAAAGGGCTGTCCTGTGCTTGAAAAAAAAAAGATAAAGACTGTACTGTACTTCCAATAAATCATACTCTATATAATGACAAAGAGCTCTGCGGAGTTTTATTCACCTGAAAAATACAAAATACAAAATATGATGCCTACAGGCAGTGAATAAATATCTGTTGAATGAATGAATAAATAAACGAAATATTCAGAAGGATCTTTAAGAGATATCTTGCTTTCTAATGGGGCAGTTTCTGATCCCCAGAAAGCTCAATGGGACACAACTTATAAGTGGTGTATATGGGGGATAAAGGATAGGTAAGAAAGAATAAAGGAAAAAAATTAATACTACTTTCAATAATAGAAGGGATCTGTCTTCTTTGTGAGTAAGACTGAATTAGGGAAACATTTCTCTTCTTCACTATTGGTCTAGTGTGTTAGAATTTCGGAGAGTGATGGAAAATAAGGATGCTGTGTCTTCAGTTAATTTCTTGAACAAGATAAAGTCAGGAATTAAGAATGTCAAAGACCCAGTGCATACCATGACACTTGAAGTCCCAAATGCCTCTGTGCTGTACTATGGAGGCCTCTGAGTCTCATTCTAGAAGGAATATCTCAGACCTAGGAAGTGTTCTGCTGCAGAGAAAGTGGATCCTGTGAATAGAGAATGGGATTTCTCAAATGGTCCAGGGAGGATAGGAGAGAAGGAACTTGTTCTTAAAGATATGAAGACTTTGGAACAAAGTTAGGATCTGGGATTTTCTGAGATCGCCTCCATGAAGAATTTAACATTTTGGATAATTTTATTTTAGACTATATAAATATTTATATTTGTGCAAGATTTAAAAACTTTCTTTCCTTTCTGTGGACATTTTTCTAAATTATTCTAACCTTCCAGGAGATTCAGATATTACCACTTCTCTTGCCATTCAGGAGTTTAAAAGGATTAGGAAAGAATATAAAAGGGAGTTTTTATTAGAGAGATTTGCCATATGCATCTCTTTTTTTTTTTTTTTGTCAAGGAAGCAGAGTCCTACAAACCAATCTTTGGTACCCAAGATCTTGGAATGCCAAATACATACAGCCGAGTCCCCGTGCCCAAAGACCACTTTGACTGACTGCCATTATGACTGTCTTTTCAAAATAAATGTTTACAAATGAGGTTCCCTGAATTTTTGAACACTAACATTTTCATGATCTAAATAATAGTACAGATGTAGAGAAAGCAGCTGATGTGGCAAAAGCAACTGTGGCTCATTCACAGACCATGCTGGCTTAATAGGAATTATCCTAGACAGTCCTGAATGACTCTTTGGCCACAATTGCTTATTTAGTTGAATGAGAATTATCAATAACAAAAGCATAAAGATCAAATGTTTGTTCTCATTTAAAAAGAAAATATTTTGAAAGATAGAAGGATTTTCTTGTATGTCTTTGCCTTATGGTCTCCAAACACAGCATGCAATCCTTGACTCTATGATCACTGTTGTCTACCTTAGATCACGGCAATTTGGAAATGAGGAGCTGCCAGTCTAGAAAACCCTGCTCTCTCCTGAGACCATAGGGTGCCAGAAGCTTTAAAGTGCCATTCAGCAGGAAAACAGAAGCTAAGCCTGGACACTGAAAGCTGTTTTTCAATCTGCAAAACCATTCTCTAATTACTGAAGCCAGAAGTTGTGGAGAAAAATTATTTTTTGTTGTTATTACTGTAATGATAGATTTTATTCTTTTAGAACACATTATACACTTTTCAATAACTTAATTTAAATTAACTTTTTTAAAGGGATGAGTAACAGCACATTTTGCTTGTAATTATAAGGATCACTGGTTGCCCCAGGCCCCTGTAAAGCCAGGGGTCCATTCATTGAAGAATAGAAAACAGAGAGCTAAGCTGCTTATCCTGGAGGACTCCCACCCACAGGCTAAAGATTTGAGAAAGGTTTTCTTTCTCTAATGAGTATAATATTAAAATTAGGTGGGTTCAAGAGATTTTATATATATATGTATGAATATGAGACTTACATGGGCACAATAAATTGTTTGTGTTCACACATATGCTGACAGCATTTGTTTAATGCACCTGCTTTTCTCCAGCTCCAGTTTGCTTCGATCTTTTGATTTTGTTTTACTATGCAGGTGTTTGCAGAAGTGTAACCACTCAGAGAGCATCTGGGCTCACATGGGTTTTAAAACCGAATCCACGTTTTAACAGTTTCTCACCTCTCAATCTGGATTAGAAAAAAGAGAATATATCATAGTAACCAATACTAATAGTTTTTTTCACATTCCAAAGTGCTAACATTTGCTTCTTAGTTATAGTTCTCAATTTGGAGTTGGCTCCCTGGTTTGTCTCGGATTCTCATGGGCCTTACAATGCTGGATATCATTTACATAGCACTTTTAAAGCCCCTTTAAATCATTAATTAATTCATTCATAGATATCCTTTCACCACCCCCCTTTAATGAATAAATAAACACACTGGGCAAAACAGAGGTTAAATGACTATGCCAGGACCATATGGGTGTTTGGCTAAATCCTTTATTCATTTTTTAATTTCTAGGAAGAAAGACACATTTTAACTCCAGGGCTCACCTAAATTCAATGCCACGCAACAGGATCAGTTAATGAATTTGGCCAATCTGGGGAAATAATTGCTCTTGGTACTATGAGGTTTACAAGTAGAAATGAGAATGTCACAAATTTTTTTTTAGTACTGGGGATCGAACTCATGGATTTTTAATATGACACCATCTATTATCTTTAGGCTCAGGGCAAGCCTTAGCATAGAGGTGAGGTCTCCAACCTTTTCTTAAGGAGAGACCATTTTTTGCTGTTTTCTGAAACCTAAGAATAATTGCCTTGGAACCTAGTATTGCCCTGGATAGTGCAAGCCAAAGAGAGGGTAGCAAAGGCTTTGGGCCATGATCTTCTTTCCAGGAGTCCTTTGCAGAGAAGGAAAAATTAGGATGGCATCTGAACTGCAGAGCATGCAGACAGACGTTCAAGCTTGATAATATGCACTTTATGTATTCCCAAGTCCATTGGTAAAGAAGGGATGAAGAAACAGAGGCTGAAAAGTCATGACCAAATGCCCCTCAAAATCATGCTTTTCTTGCTCTTTATCATGCTTGGGATCTGATAGGCATGGTTAGTATCCAGTATACCACAAGACTAACAAATATCTGCTTAATTGTCTGTTACTCTGAGCTTAGTAAACCATTTGAGGTGGAAAGAAAAGATAGTGCTATGGAAAGAGACCAAAGAAAAGGTGGAGACCAGTGAAGGTATGTGCTCCAGGGGAAATGGACTGGAGAGAAGGAGCAAGCTCCTAGAGAATAATAATCATCCTGGGATGGCTACTAGGCTTCCTTTACCTAAATGCCCTGAAAACAACTAAATGGAATGGTGCTTCAATTTCTTGGGGCTGCTATAAAAAATTGTCACAAAATCTGTGGCTTCAAACATTAGAAATTTATTATTTCATAGTTTTGGAGGCAAGAGATCCAAAGCTACCAAGTCACAAGATTGATTCCCTCTGGAGGTCAGAAGAATCCATTCCATGCTTTTTCGGATGGTGGCCCACAATCAATGAGTGTTCCTTGCCCTGAAACTGCACAACTCATCTCTGCCTTCATTTTCTTCTTGCCACTTCCTCTCCAGGTCTATTGCCTATGTGTCTCAAATTTCCCTCTTCCTTCTCTTACAAGAACACCAGCCATTGAAATTAGGGGAACTCTTAAATCTGAGATGTTCTCATCTCTCTTAACCTTAACTACATCTTGCAAAGACTTTATTTTTAAATAAGATCTTGTTCACAGGTACTGGGGATTAGAATTTGGACTTGTCTTTTTGAGAGACACTGCTCTACATTTTGCAGATACCATTTCTTAGACCATGGTCTGGGAAGAAGTTTTTTTTAGTCTCTAGACACTGTACACCTGAGTCCCTCCCACAATCCCAGAGACTGACAATAAGTGTTTCTGGAGGTAGAGTTAACAAATATTTCCTTGTATTTCTCTCTGATATTTTTCTATGGATCTACTTCTATGTCAAAGTAGAAAATTGCTTGGGAGCCCCAAGAATCCCAACTGCAACTTGTATCTTCA